ACCTCATCTAGACACTACACGATTGTGGCGTTACAGTAAAAACTGTAATAGGAAAATACATAATTTTATTGCATCGGTCGTATGTATTTCTGTTGGTTGCACAACGGGAATCGTATAAAAAACATTCGCGTTGTCGTTAGACACGAAATCGTATAATTTTCTGTTATTAGCGAATTCATAAACCATGTACATATGTATAATTATAAACCCTTGAGCTGAAATCTTAAAAAGGGTATAGAGGATATTGAGACAAATCCTCGTCTCCCTTTCTTTTTTTAAATGGTCAGTCGACCAAATATCTCATTAATCTGTAAAAACGGATCGACTAATGAAATTAAAGTTGGTCCGTCTGTGTAAAAACGCGACAAAAATATGTGAGGATGATAATGGCGATAGGAAAATTCAATTAAAATAAAAAATTCCATCTCAGCTTCGCGTCTAAGCTATTAATAAATACTATTTCATTGGCGTTGCATAAAAATAAACCGGTCAACGGTCATTGTTAGCCGACAAAAATAATAAAATATTTTTATTGTGGTGGTCACGCTAAATTTGCGCTATAGACTTGTAGAAAACAAATTAACTGCTATTGGTTCCATGAGTTCTGACAATGATGCAAAAAATAAATAAGATAAAAACGTCGTACTGGATCGAATCGTAACTGGTGACAAGACTTATGTACTCTCCTATAGTCGGTGAGTCATGATAAATCTGCACACAACAATTATTGTTACTATTACATCATTTTGCCAAGGAAACCGAGGAAAACGAATTCCACGCGTTCAACCATAGGGCACGTAACGACACGATGTAGGCTTCAATATAATTTGTTTAAATCTATAATAATTATCAATTCATTTTTTACCAAGAATAAGTGGCCTAGAGGAATGAATTCGAAATGTATCATTGTCAGCCGAATACCTAAGAAATCGAAGTTCCCATCGTACAACGCGAGAAATAGACTGCGATAAATTATAATAAATCGTTTTTATACGTGTGAAGACCCAAAGTGTGATCAGAGAAAATTTTCAAACTATACTCACTGACCTTCGACCAATCCATTAATAATTAATACTTATTGGCGTTGTAGATTAGATTAAGTTTTGTTTGTCACAATACAATATCGTTCAATTTGTCAAATTTAATTATTTCAGAAAAGAAAGAAAATTCACGGGTTGTTTCAAAGATTCTATGAATTCGAAAACTTAACTCATTATAGTATATTTATAAACCATAAGTCACGATGCTAAACAATGAAAAAAAAAACAATCTAATAAATCAGTGTAAAGACTAAGATCAGAAAGATTTACAATTCCAAACAAGAAACGTCCAATCGAAATTTTTAGAGGGGCCTCCCTCATTATTTGTCATTATCATTCAAAATTCAATTTGAAATTTGTTGACAATAAAAAATTATTAACCATTTTTTGTTACTTACTGATATAAATTAACGTTTATGCGCGTCATGTTTTTTAATTACATATTGTTGTATACAATAGTTGATAAATTTTACTACGAAAGAGTTGTGAGAAAGCCTAAGAAACACTGTTGAAATCGGTTGTCTCTTTTTTTTTGACCATATCAATGAGTTAATATTTACATGTAACATTCTCGCATGTATAGTTCGTAATAAACTTTAGATCACAAATTGTTTTTTTTACATAATAATATCCGAGAAAATATGTTGACATTTTTCTCTTTTTTTTTTTACAGGTATTTTCTTCAACTTATTAACCCTTTCTCGTAACGTACCAAAGAGTAAAAAAACACACCGATTACTTAATGACGCAGAACATAATATTTAGATTTTTTATGTGCTCAGACCATTCGAGTTCATTTTGTCATAAAACTTGAGTAATTATTAGTTACTGTTTATGGGCGTATAAATTTAACAAGAGGTACAGTTTATGCGATAAGAGTCTTTGCACCAAGGCATTCGGCGAGGACTTTGGTCTATGTAAGAAGTTTGTATTATGATACTGTTGTAAACGTCAACAGCAACTACGTGTGTACACATAATGTTATGTACCAGTTGGAGGTCAGCCGTATTGTCGACAACCAACTGTTATTTTTTTTTTTTTAACCCTTAAAGTTTTAACGTACAGACCACATGGCTTGGCGATATTGTTACACGTATTTGCATTGTACCGGCCCACCCACAATTTGTCTCCCCTTGGCGAGCAACGCATTTTACTCGGGAAGAACGTGTAACAGTAGAACACTTGAGCTCTGACCTTGATCTACAAGTCAGGAGACTGACAATTTTAAAAAACTGTCGGCTGTACAATACACCGGCAAACGTTCGTTCGGTTGCTATATGGAATCGGGTCAAGAGTTTAGAATTTTTATTTTTTACCATGCCCATAAATAGGATAATTCCTCGCACACGACACACACTCGCGTGAGGCACACCAGTTTGTAAACTAATAATATCATTACTACGGTAAAGATTGTTATAAGAAAAATGACGCTATTTTCATCGTGTATTTGTACTTTTAATTTTTTACCTGGCTGACGTTCAAAATGCACTTAATTATTGAACTGGCGTGACGGCCGCACACAATAATATATTATGAGCTACGTAATGAGATAATGTCAGTGGTAATCTTGTCCACGTGGCATTTTAACGAACACGAAACCCACCGACGGCGCAATGGTAACAGCCGGGGCGAAATGTATTTTCATTTTTCTTTAATTAGACACAAATGACTTGGTACGGTGAGCAATAATACTTAGCAGTAAAAAATGTACCGCGAAGCCCGTTAACAGTGCGGTTGCTTTTTAGCATCACGTGAACAATGCGCAACTGCAAGTATTGCACGCAGATAGTGTGCGCGACTCGAGGAATTCGACTTGCTAAAGTCCGTACGATTTTATAATAACGTATATTATATGGGGACATATAAATTCAACAGTCAGAAGAAAAAGAAAACTGAAAACCATAAACAACACGAGGAAACGAAACGACAACCCGGTCTGCTACAGGCGACGACCGTTAGAAATGATAAACCTTTGAACCTTCAAGCACATTTTACTGTTCTTATCTCGAACTGACATTCCGTTGCATTTGAAAAAATATTTACTTGGCTATAATTTTTTCTTCTATTAGAATCGCAAATACGTCACCCAAATCCGAATTAGGATACAGTCGCATAATGAATAATAGAAGTTTTGACTATTATACACAAAATCAAGGACAAGCGAATTGAAAAACAAATCTTATTGCTAATTGACAATTGTCGGTTATTAGTAAAAAATTACATGACATAGCATATAACCTTCCTCATAGTAAAACTAATTGAATTTAAGGGAAACAAAATGGTATTGTTCAAAAGAAGTTTCCAAACACAACATACGACATATTCAATAGCTCAATATTAATCTACAGAATTGTAATAATTTACATTATTTAAATGTAAATAATTGTGATAATTTGCATTTTAACACTATACCTTGAAAAATAATAAATAAAAATTATCTGTCACAATAGGCAAAAAAAAAAAAAGGGTAAACAAGAAATATTCAGTTGGCAAAAATGTTGAGTTATTTATTTATTTTTTATAAATCATAAGAGTAATTTTTATGATTTGTCTTTAATACGGAAAAAAATTAATAATTTGTTTTTAATTTTTAGTTTTTTAAATAATATTATTATAGCCATTTTTTACAAAGAATTTTTATGACTCGATAAAAACTTTAATCATGTATTACGTCTCCTCTGAGAGCTATTGTTTGTGCCAGAGAGAACAGGAAAACCAACATAGCCCAGCGCAACGGAATGGATAGGAAATGAACTAATGCATAAATACATTTTGAATTATTAAATATAAATACCTGGACCAAAAGTTATTTAAGACTTTAGAACATGATGGGAGACTTAGTATTCAAAAAGTAAGGAAACAGATCAATTATTACAAAAAATGAGAACAATTAAAACCAGTTTCCTTACTTACTACATAACACCCTATACATAATGAAATAAAAAAACAAACGATATATCCAAAATTTATGATTTCTTAAACATAATTAATGACTCCGAACAATTATTTTTTTCTTGTATCCGATGTATTGATTTAGCTTTTTAATCAAACAAAAAAAAAATTCTTTTTATTTAGTAAATGATAAAACAGTCAATTCTACAATGAATTTAAACACTTTATATGTATATTAAATAAAAATTGTTTAATTTTTCTCGGATTATTTTTTCTCAGTCGTTTGTAAATAAATTTAAAATTTAATTTTCAATCAAAACTTTTACATTAATATAATATAATATAAATATAATTTTATTGGACACTGATTCTTCAGAATATGGTTAAAACAAAATAAAAAATTTACCCCCAGTCACTTAGTTTCAATGATCTATATACTTTTCAAAATGTTATACTACTTTCTATAACTTTACAATGATATAAAACTAAAACTGGAAAAAAGTTCTACTCATTGTTTGTGGTTTCAATAACTTTCCTCCGTCTATTGAAAATTGCAATAATCTGGTGCTTACGCCAACGTGTAGAGGGAGGGGTATTGAGTAAAGTATAGGTAGATAAAACACATTTTTGTTATTTCTTAGCTTTTATAAATAATAATCAGAATTTTCATTACATACCTGTAGTCGGAATCCATTTAGTGGGCAACATTTGAATTAACTCGAATAAAAAAATGACTCAATATTTAAAACGGATTTTTAGTATACAATTATATAATCATGAGCTTCATTAGTCTCCTACCGAATATAAACTGAAGTGAAAATGATTCTTGGTAAACAAATAGACTGTTGGTCAGTAATATCAAAACTAATTAATTTAGAAGATCACATAGAAATAAATTAACCGGATTAAAGTCTAACAATATTAAGTCTTTTAGCATAATATGACTCTTATCTTAAACGTCTAATTCGATTATCTGGACTCAAGGTACCATTTATAAATTTGAAAGGTGCAGGTAAATACCTTAATTCTAATTTTCACCATATAAAAATCATTAGAAAATTTATTTACCTTTTTTCAGTTGAAAATGTTTTTCAGCGTTATCTATAATTTCTTTAGATACGTTATCGATTGAGTTTTGGCATGTTATCCGGGTTGCAGGTTCTGGTTTGCTAAAGATAAATTAAGTTTATGAAAATTAAATCCAATAAATAAATAAATAATAATAGTACAACTATCAATTACTTTTACTAATAATAATAATTTTATAAAACACTAAATATTAATAGAATTTAAATTAAATTTAATGTGCCTCATTATTGACGAGTATGCAAACAAATATAAAATACTGCATGAGTAATTGCAGTTTTAAGGGGCACTTCTTAGCAATTAACATTAACTACTATTATAAAAGTTCATGCCCAATATTACAAAAGAAGTTTTTTTAATAAATATAATGAGCTCTTTATAATGTTAATTATTTTGATTAGATATATTATTTGAATAATTATTTTGAAAATAAGAAGATTTATTAAGGACACTGAAGAAGTCATATAAAAGAGTACTACATTACACAAACAATATTTATTTTTCAAAAAGAACATTTTTTTTACAAGTGGTGCAACGTTTCCATGCGTTTTTAATAATTCACGTGTCTAATATAAAAACTTCCAGAGCTAGGTTCTATTTTTTTAACTACTTATTTTTAAGTCATTTTATTGGATTACTATGTAAGTTCAGTGTAATATACACGCAGGCTTGTTAAATTATTCAAATATTAAATACTATTTAAATTTGTTTTTGAATACTTTTAGATAAATGTATTTTAAATACTTTTGGAACGTATTTCTAATAAGAATATTAAGTATTTTTTTTTAGTAACAAACATTTATTATACTGACTTAGCCATTTTTATTCTTTAAATAATAAAAATTAGAATTTTTGTCAACAAATAAGCAGAATATTTTGTGATATTCTTTCTTTGTATTTGATATATTATTATAAATAGGCTATTAACAAGAAATGGGTTCGCTCTAAGTATGACACGGCCAGCAAAAGTGCGAATTGACCAGCTCCATTTTATATTAAAAATGAGTTTGGGGAAAATGACCAAGTTGACACCCACCAAAAGACGGCCCTCTGCATTGCCTAGTAGTACCCCGATTGAACAGGTATTCTGTGGAAGCAATGCCATTTTAACAAGACTTATAATTCAAATAAAAAATGAATGATGAATTTTGAGAATGTCATATTTTTAAAATGCATCAAATATTATAAAGAACATAATCTTTTAAATTAAATCACTTGTGAGTGAATTAGTTATAAGAATATTATATTTTACAAATATTAATAACTGAAGTACTAATTTTTTTTTCATGACGCTTTATGTCAAGTTCGCCCACAATATAATTTTTAAATTATTTATGATGTAATAATTATCCAACAATATAAAAGGATATTTCGATTTTATCATTCATAAATATTAATTAATTTTAAATGTCAATGCGTTACAAAGATTAATAATTTACAGTGTGCGCTTACACAAACTTCATAATTTCGGTGTCGCAAACATTTTGTTCTTGTTCATTTTTGTGAACATAATCAACAAGTTCGGGTGGCAGTCTATAAGAAGGAGGTGGCGGTTCTGTAGGTAAAGGTGGAGGTGGTGGGGGTGGTTTTTTCTTTGGGCGAACTTCTTTGCGGGGCAGAGGTTTGGGAGGCATTCGATGGTTTTCCTCAGCAACAGCCACCAACTTTTCATAGAGACCCACATCGTCACCGATAGCTGCGCTTGACGAGAATTCCCGTTCCAACTGCATGAAAGGTTCAAGCACTCTGTCCAAAACACAGTTTTTGGATGGGTCGTTATCTGGCATCTTGTATGTTGGACATTTGGACACCACGGTAGACACACTGCTATTTGTATCATCCGACTCGGATTCTCCATGGTAAACAAACCTAAAATGTATGCAGTATGTTATTCCTGTGTTAATATCATAAAGGTACCAAAATAATAAATTAAAATTCAATAATTTTTACTTTTATTAAAATTGTTGACACAATAAATAACTCAAAATCTAGCTCCAGACCAATATTAAAATAAAATGAGGACAAAATTAAAGTATTCAGTTGGCGCATACTAACGATTTTGTATTAGTACTCGACTAGGTCAGTTACTTGATTTGAATTGTTTTCTCAAATATTTCCTCCATAATTAAACACGTGCATCAGATATAGTTTCATCATATTAAAAAACTTTTACTGCAAATTAACTAAGCGTGTAAATATTTAAGCAATATTTGTAAAAAAAAAACTCTAAATGGTAGCTTTGCAATAATCAAATTGAAAACAATACTCATTGTTCGTGGATCGTAACGAGAAGTGGTCATCTATTGTAAAAATAAATTATCATTTTTCTAAACAGGTTCCGTATGAATACCGACTAATTACAAAGGCATTAATTATTATTTGGCGCCAATTGAGTACCTTGTTGAAACTTATCAATTTTTACTAGATTCGTGATCAAAATAGCAGTAATAGCAATAAAAACAGAATAATATCAACAAACCTCTCTACAGCGTTTGTGTAGATGGACGAAGCTATAGGGGCTGGTTCGGGTTTCTTCTGTTTTCGAGGGGGTACAGGCGGGGGAGCTTTGACTGCAAATCTGCCGTCGACCATATGAAGCTTGACGACCAAGCCGGACTCTTTGAGACATCGGACACAATCGTCGCGACTCATACGGTTGACGGGACGATCATTGATCCGTATAATTTCATCTCCGGGGGCGAGTGCACCCCAAGATGCCTGGGTTCGTGATGCCGGACTACCATCAGCGCAGGACTGTACGAATAACCGATTGCAAGTTTCCACCCCGTCAAACTGCAACCCGAATCCAAGCCGCTCGCCGGGTAGGCGATAAACTAATACTTCTTCGGCTGTTGGCTGTTGCAATTCCTGGTACGTTTCCTGGGCGTTTTCGCCAATTGATAAAACAGTGACAAAAGTATCGTCGGCTCGCGATGAACGGACACCATCCACTTTGACAACAGTGACGAAATCCTTGGCGCCCGTGGCAGTGGCCATGATTCACCTAAGCAGCTGGCAGTCCTGCAAACAAACCAACCGGTTATACCGTTAGAATAAGCTATACATGGGCGTTTATTTGCAGATATTAATCCAAGTCCGAGATATGTATGTTATGTGATATATATATATATATGTTCGAGATATCTCGATGTACTGTTTTTATAGGTCGACCGCCGAAGAAACGGTTCTATGCTTTTTGTTTACAAATAATAAAAGTATAATAATTACATACTCTAATATTTTAAGCGTTTGCATAGTGAACACATTAAACGTAGCGATTAAAAGTGTGAAATAATAATTATAGTGAAAGTACATGATAGTAAAAATCAAACGTTAACATGTAATAATTGCAATTTTAATAACAGTAAATTATGTTCGGTTATTGTTTGCTGAGACCAATGACATGCATATCTAGGTTTGTGTGCTTGTCTAATAGCCCTTAATAGTTCTTACAATTTATAATTTCTTTACCAGTTCTAATTGTAGATATGTATAAAATCGTCCAGAGAAAATATATATTTATACGAGAAAACTACAACGAAAATAGAGTTTAAATTTAAAAAAAAAATGCATTCAAGACATAATTTAAGCATACGAGTATTTTGGATAGATCTTTAAACACAATATATATATATATTTATATTTGTGCATATTTATTTTACGGGCGACTTAATTTTCTAATTAGGTTTAGTTAACCGGACGGAACAGTAATGACACACTTCTGCTAATAATAAATATTAATCATTAATGATATCAGTAAAAGTTATTTGCTATTTTATTAAAAAAGCGACCAAAGAATCGTAAGTAATATACATAAAATACATTCACATGTATAATGTAATATTTATTGTGTTTGGTAAAATCTGTAAACAAAACCATCAATTTTATTGCTTTTCTAAAAGAACTAATTAGTTAACGCACAGAAAATCCGATTTAAATTATAACAAAGAGTTAGGTGGAAAAAATATATTTTTTATGACCGTTTATGAACAATTGGAATTAATAGGTAAATCATTAAAATTCCAAGGTATTCACCAACTAGGCTCTCGTGTTTTATCTCAACAACACGCGCAGAGTAAAATTTAAATGTTCTTCGTCAAAAAGTTAATTTCTCTATTTATTTTTAGCCGAGTCATATAACAACAATTGACATTTTTTTCATTCGTATCTAAGCAAGGTAAATAGTCACACTACGTTCTCATGCTTCAAAAAATAATTTCGTTTTACACATATCACACCCTCTCTACCAGTAGATAATTTAATAAAGAAAACAATGAAATTCAAATATAAACTGAACTAGTTATTAATTTTAATATAAAATCATACTACAATATAATACAAATAACTAATACCAACTACAAATTCCTTCAATTTATTTTATTGTTAAAAACAACAGAGTAATGTACATTTTTGATAATGTAATATAGATCAATTTCGAAGAAATAGAGAAATGCATAACCCAATGGAAAATGGAATCCATATAACGGAACCAATATATTTGTATCCGATGATTAATGTCAGTACAAAAAAAAAGATAGCATGATACTCATTTTTTTTGTTGTGCAAGAAATTAATCCAAAAATTTATGTTGATTTCCCTTTTCTTTTGGGCATCAAAAAATGGTTAAACAAATCAATTTTTAAATGTAATTAATTATTGCCCTTATTAATTACATTATATGTTGATTTAAGGGTTTTTAAGATTTTGTGTGTTATTAATATGTCAGATATTTACATAAAGAAATTATTGAAAAGGATCAATGCATTCAAAAATTATATGTTATGTGATCAAGTTATTAGCTATTACTTAAAGCGGTTTTTTGTTCAAGATTCTATTCATTAGGATTTTTAACTGTATATTTTCACGGTTGTTAACTATGCACACACACACGCTTGGATAATTATAAAATGTAAAGAGAATAATATTAAAAATGGGCAAGACTAATTCGATATAATTAAACTATACTTGCGAAAATATAAATCTAAACAGTATTAAAAAACAATCTAAATCAATGTATAAAAAAACAAAAGTGATAGTAGCTTAACAAGAAAAAAATCCTGTTTTACACTTCCTTTGAAATGAAAAGCTTTTCATGATAATTTAGTAAGCCGTCAACTTTTTCTCTCGAAGTGATATTTTTGTTAGTTCTTTAAATTAATTAGCAAAAAAAATATTAAAAATAAAACTTTCTCAGAAAATAAATTTTGGTCCCAACACTAGTGGCAAACATTAACATTAATTTATAATTATCATTGTGGCTAGGAATTATATGCATTTATAAATTTTGTTTGAGGTACTTTGAAAGGGCTCCAAATTTATACAACTTTGTCATAGGACTGTATGGTAGCAATATATAATATTATTATCAATGATATTCTTTACAGAGGTAATGACCAGTAAAATGGATTATTATTGTAAGAATAATAATTCAGTAAGAAACAAAAGTATAGCTTTAAAATTCTTTAAATATTTAAAAAATCGTAGACCATACTAAACCTAACCGTATTAACATAATATAGATTAAAAGATAACAATCAAAGGGATATGTAAACGAAATTTGACACAAAATGTTTGGGTAATTTAATTTAATTTCTTCTTTTCTTAAAATTTTTTTTTATAAATTATACGTAATTTTCATAATTGTTGGAATTTTGCGACAAAATTAGAGGGCTATGCTAATTTCGACTTTCAGCTTTCGCCTTTAAAAGGCTTATTATTCTATAATTAAAACGTCAATGGAGCAGTTTATTTTTGTATATACTCGAGTGTTTAATAGAATAATTATCTGACTAGTTCAGCATGAAGAGCGGTTATTATAAACTTCCCTACACATAATCTAAATAAAACAAATGCGATTTATGAATGTGTATGACGATAAAGCTAACTTGTTTGAGAATATTAAATTATAATACTCATTTCGACGAAAACAACATCTGCTGACAACACGTTATTGTACAAATAAAATTTTAATTTCCAACGTTACAAATAAATGTAGAATACTTTGATTTCTATTTCGAACTCTAGTAAAAAAGTTAATTATATTTTTATAGTTAAGCACATATATTTCAGATTATCGATGTTAATTATTTTTTAAGTAGATATCTAAAGCAGAATAAAATTTATCCACTTTAATTTGATATTAACAATTTTTTTTAATAAATACTTCGATGGTGAATTTTACTAAAATATTGTTATTGAAACAATATTCAATTCATAATAAAATTTTATCTATTTACTTTGTGATGTATGATGTTATTTTTTAAAATAATTTAAACCATTAAAGTACTAGCTTAGTCATGATCGAAGTTTATCGATTAATAATTATTTAGAACAGCAGAAATGATGTCAAATAATATAAAAAAATTACATAGTCTTTTTATGGTTGGTTTATTAAATGTATAAGTTAATATGTTGAGTTTAAAAATTAATTAACCAAAAAAAAAATATATAATACTATATTACTTTGGTTTATTAAAGATTGGATATCATTTGACATAGTGTTATAAGAGTAAACAAAAACAAGAAGATATAATAATAAAAATCACGATAATATTTATTTAAATGAAACAAGGGGTGTGTATATAGAGACTTAAAAGGCATAAACTCCATCTAACTCAAACTTGTACGACCACCACATTTTTATCAACTATGTTACTTTCAGATGGATTTTGAGCAAAAAAAAAAATAATAATAATAAAAAAATATTATTATCAAAGAATTTCCTTAGCCCTTTCTTGAATATTTTTTTCTACATAAGCACCCAAAATGAAAAATAAGTTTGTTAAAGGTTAAATCTTATAGAAAATAATATTAACTCAAGATTTTTGAGTGATTATTAAGAAAATTATATGTACTTCAGGAATTCATTATACTGTCTAAATAAATTCACACTTAAAAAAATGTGTGAATATTCACATGTGTAATGGAAGTTATTAACAAATACGATGTATGGAAATTTTTAATATCTAGCAATTAAATAATTATTTTTGTAAAGAAATTTTTGACACTTCATGTCAAAGATTTCACTATTTTTATGTAAAATTAAAATAATCTTAATGTTTATTAAATTTTTTGTATATTTCTTAATGTAGCCAAAAATAAAATAATTATATATAATCATTTTTCCATGTTAAGACTATATTTTTAAGTGATTGTATACTTTGGTTGAATAAAATTTTGTATTATTCTGATACAAATAAAAATTTACTCAAACACATTTGTAAACCTCTTTTAAATTTAACAAAAAAACATACGCTATTTTATTGTTTTTTTATCACGCATTGCACGCATGCTTCAGTATTAGTAACCCATATTTGCTATTTGCAAATATGGGCTCTATTTATAGCTTAACTGATTATTATAACATGATTATTAATAAGTTTAAATAATTTTAACATTGTGAATTATTTGTAATATAGCTATAAACGTTCTCACGCTAAAACATTCTAGATACATGTAATACACTGTGAATTTGGGCTGTCCTGAGATAGTTGTTGGTGAATAAGTATTAACAATAATTATGGCTATAGTCAAATGTACCGTTCATTGCGGATGGTTTTAATAAAAACAACACTCTAAAACGCGTTTCTGGTTTATTCGCATTCGCTTTATTATAACTATGAATCAATCTGCTTTATTACCTACTATATATTAGCTAAATTTTATATGTAATACACTAACACACGGAGAAAATGTGACAGATAACTTTTAAGTTATTCCAAATTAATTATATATTTAAATAAATACACCACGTGTTTGTAACAAGTTTTTTTGAGTGCAGCTATTACTACTTCTAAGTTTCCTTTCTTTTGATTGACTAACCAATTTTTTTTACATTATTAGTATAAATCAAAGAGCTCATTGACAAAATTGGCCTATAGGATTTATAAGCTAAACACACATCAAAGAAAAATTCGTAGGATCTCTATCAAAAAATTTAAATAGTAAGTATTTTATTTCGAGAACCTAAAATCCCAAAAAAATGATAACACAAACCTTAAATTTGTAAATAAACAGATAAGTACAATGGAGCCGTACTCCTTTAATTAAAATCTAAACTATACGTCTAAAAATATAATATATTTATATTATGTTGCAATATCTTATATTGAAACCAGCACATTAGTCAAATTTTTTTGTTTAGTTTATTCCTAGTAATCAGTTTTAATTTATTTATGTAACAAATATTTAAATTATCTTATTATTATACTTCATGTAATCACCAAAAATTCTCTTAATTATAAAATAAATTTTTTTATTCAAAATTCAATAAATTCTGGATTTTTTATAATCGAGAAAGTTAAAGAAAAGTCTATACACAATTAATTACATTTTGTCATGCTAAATAGTAGTAGCATATATTATACAACTATATATTTAATAAGGAAGTTTTTCACCAATCATATTACATAAATTTTACATTTTATTAAAAGTGTAATGTTTCTTTTAGTTAATTAGGTCCTGGCTAACCAATTTACAAGTATAGAACTAATTAAAAAAAAATTGCTGAAACTTTTAGAATGATTATGCACATTGATTTACTCTGTAAAATTTCGTAACAAGGTACAGGTTTTACAAAAAATATTATTAAATTTCTTCGATCAGTAATATCTTATTTTTAATTTCACCACTTATTTATTTTTCAAAAATATACGATTTTTTTCGCGAACGAAAAGTTTTCAAGAGTAATTAAGCAACTGGTGTATTTTTGAAAGGGGGAATTAAATTAAAAACTACGAATTTACCATTCGATTTGTGATTTTAGATCATAAAAAAAAAGTAAATTTAATACTATTACTGATGATCTAATATTTCAAAACTTCATAATATCTGATCTAATATATCTGTATTATAATAAAATTAATAATATAATTTTTAAGCAATGTATCAAACTCAACATTATTGCGGCCTTATAAAATTATAGCTTAATGTCATTAGAATTTCTATTACATTTTAACTTTTGAGGATGAATAATTATTTTTTATATTATATATTTTGTTTCGATTTAATTAAAATAAAAAATTTGAACTATAATTTGACCCCTGATAATCAATCACTTGGCAGTATTATCGACACCTTTCACCCTAAGTGAAAGTAGTTAAAATATATTTTAATGTTTAATTACAGAATTTTCAAAATAACATTGACTGATTGATTAGAAATTTCTTTTACTATACATTATCATAGAGGGCTGTTGAAGTCTCCAAGTATTTTGTAAACATATTATGCATGTTAATATATACAGTATATTATAACTTTTACGATTATAATATTAAATGAGTAGTGTAGAAATCATAGATTTTAAGTATATACACAGTACTGGATATCACTCAATCTCACAGATCAATCAATAGTACAAACTTGATTCCATGGATCAGATTTTAGCGTTTTATTTAATTAAAATTTTTAGAAAATTATTCATTAATAGTCATAACTATTAATGTTATGAATTGTTATTTTATCACCATGGTCGTTGTATATTTAGGGTTCGAATTGTCAAAATTGATGAAGTAACTAAGTATAATAAATTTAATAATAATTTGTAATTATGTTATTATAGTTAATTACAATCAATGAAATAATTATTTTTATAAACTTACACACAATATTATTTAGTTCCATGTTGAGTATGAAAATATTAAATCGTTTGAAATGTGGGTATTTAACTACACGGATTGACAATGAAATGTAAAGTATAAGTACATTATCTAGACGCATATCTATACAATTTGTAATCGCATTGTGCGTTTAATTACGTCTCATGTAATCAATAACTAATTACTTGTATAGCCAAAATTATACAGATACTTCGCAGTACACGTACAATTTTAGCACAGTTATATTTATTTTCAAAACTTAAAATTTACAGTTTTGGCTAGATACACTAGATTACATTTTATTCCATTGTATCTCAAACATCCACCAAAATTAACAGTTGTTTATTTTTTTTTTTTTTTGTAATGCTTCAACAATTTCAACAACTTGTATATAAATAAATAATAAGTGTTATTCTATATTTTTCAAAAATGTTACTCAATTTTAATGAGTTTTTAACCTCGAACTATTGTTACAAAAAATTACTAAAATTATAATTTGATTACATTTTGCCAGATGATGTAGAAATCGCTTCTTAACTATTGTATTATATATGTGTAAAAAACAATGATAAATTTATCATAGTTACACGTACATCTCAATATGTACATGTGGAGTGATTAAGGAACCACCTATTAAGAGGTATGATTATATTTTACTAATATATTTATACTAGACTATCTTTAAAGTAACACATTAACACAAATATAACGCTGCACTCCGTTCACACAATAGAGTACAAGAAACGCATAACTTAATAATATGGTAAAGCTGACCCGGATGCATGTTTGCCTTAGGGTTACGCCGAAAAGATCTGACTGCGACTGTAAAAGCGATTTTTTATCAAATGTAACGCACGGTCATTACCTTCACCACCTACACGTGTTTACTTTACGTTCCTGCTCAACTACGATTTCATTTCATTTTATGTCCTTAATTCTTCTAACAAAACTATATTTAATAGAATTGAATCTGTAATTTTACTTATTCATGTCAATAAAAAATCAATTTGGTCAATGTAGTAGCTTAAAATTTCACACATAAAACTGCTTAGCATAAACTTTTTCAGGCGAAATGTTTGAGCAGTTTGAATAATCCACGAATTTAACTGACAAATAGCTCATTGATTATAAACGTCAACCTGCAGTCGATTTCTCATATTAAAAAATCTTGGAACGATATTTTAAATAAAAATAGTACACTTCAAAAACTTAAATTTTATATAGGTTAAAAATTTCGGACTTCCGGAATATCTTTTACATGCATGGGTGTCTCTTTCAAGTACTTCGTGTACTTAGGTTTATCTTTGGATTTTCACAAATAGTATACCCATAGAAAGCTCTAGTACATTCTATTTAAATTTTATTAGGATCAATGTTTTTTTAATAAGTTATAGAAATTATCAAATACAGAAATAATATATTGGAAATGAATTTTTTTACAATAGTATAATTTTGATACATTTTTAAAATTTCTAATATTGAAAGAATTCGGTGATATTAGGTTCATCTGAATAACAATCGGGTTCTTTTTGCGCATAGACCGGAAAAACTGACAATTTTTATGGACAGACATAAAAAAGGCGCACACCATCACAAAACCAATACCTTTTCAGCTACGATAGAAGCTAAAAATAAAGACATAAAATAAAATAAGTTGGTAATAATTTATTTTATAAATAACAAAATAACACTAGTATATTGTTGTCTAATCACTCAAAACCATAAAACGCGTAAGTATAGTATGGTTTTTATCAAATATTTTCAAAGTATTAAAATTTACGAAAAAAATCACATATTTTTCAGTAGGTTACCTCAAATACATATTTTACGAGATCAAATGATACATTCACTGTGTCCGTCATATTTATTAGAACTCTACATGTTTACTAGCCTCATTTTTTTGTGAATAAAATAGCATTGGAAATCAACAACTTAGACGTCCACAATAAATAGCTAAAAACGATTATTCTATATCGGTCGATAACTCAATAAATTAAACATTGAACAGCGCTAATCTAAAGCGACACAGCAAAACTTAAATCTGTTCGCATTTTTTTAAGTGAAAGTACATGGCATACGAGCTTTCGATCAAACAAACCTGACGCTTCTCTTTATGGTCACTTTTTATTTTAATCCGGTCGCTATAAAAACAAGATTCGCGCACACAATGATAATTGTATATGATTACTGTTGTTTCTATTGTATGAAAAATAAATACTTCTCGACATTCTCTCCTGAAGAATACATGAAATTTGATAATGGATTATTTCGTTATTATGATCATGTACACGTGAAAAGGTAAGTGGTGCGCCAATGATTAAATGCGTTTGATGCATCTTATTTACTAGTATACTGGAAACATTAGCCCGCAAGGTCGACGGCAGAATAATATTCAGCGAACATTGGCCAATGAACCCAGAGATAAATAGATTTAACGATTAAAAAATAAAATCTAAATTCTTTTGTTACAAAGACGATAAATAACATCGAATCGACATTACCATAAAAATAATAACTAATGACAATATATTATTAATAATCGTTATTATTACTCACTAATCGACGGGCAGCCGAAGTGGTAGAATATAGCAGTCCTGACAGAAGACACACTGAACGCAACACATAATGTTTAAGATTTATCAAACACAAAACTGAATTTAAATGATTTTATAAATTAGACACTAATATTGAATTTCGTATCCATAATTGAGAAGTTTCAGTTGATCATTGTCACTGTATCGAACGTTACTATACCGTAATTGATTTAGTAGCGGTTGCACGTGTTACACGCACGACGGTCGAGATGCTGACTAACCAGTAACCAGACCCAGTAACCGTCGACCAGCAACGGTGTTGTACGGGCGCAACAGAATCGGGTCGCCGCACAACAACCGCCTCCCCCGCATACCCTACCATTAGTAACCAACAACGGACCGGTCTTCTTTTTCTTCTCCTTCCGCTCAATAAAAAATAACATTGGTCATTACCTACTACAATAATGCGTTAAAATATCTGATTTTCCAGACACGTCATTGTGTTCAAAAGGTTATAATTAGGGTGGGAACTTTATGCATTTATAATATTTGTTTGGACTACTTTCGAGACATCAAACTCCATGAAATTTTATCATACGTTTATACAATACCACAGGAACTTTTTTGTTTTAGGGGGAGTGATCATCTCCCCACGACCACCCGCCAAACTAAAACCCTCATTATTATACATTTATTAGTATTAAGACAAATACAAACGAATATCATCATTGATGTACTGGGGACGACTAAAATAAATTTTATAAATATATTAAGTCCCGAATGCTAGTTATAATATATATTAAAAATATATTTGTAAAAACTAAAAATTATCGTGCAGATGTAAGAGATGTTGAAAATTAAAGGGATTAATTTAAATAATTCACTACGCTTTTTAAATCATTAAAATTATAATTATACCCGCTCGCAAATCACTATTACCCTAAAATAAAAAAAGGGTTTATTGCGAAAACACCATTGGCATATTTTCCTGAATACCATAGAAATACTTTTTTAAAACCTTATCTAATCCAAAAAAAATTATTAATGAATCATGAAATTATGAAATTTTAGTCTTCAATATTCGAGGAGTTTAAGGGATGTACATTTATTCTAAATATCAAAATTTTAATATAAAAATTAATATTTTCAGTATAAGTTTTCGGTATTTTTGTAATTTTTAACAAAATTAGGAATGTTTAATAGTAATAATAATAGGAGTTCTCATTTATGAATATTAAATTTAAGGTATTTAACCTTAAAAGTTATAAAATTATTTAACTACATATTATTGGAGTTTTTTGAATTTTATATTTTTTCTAGCCACAAAAATTTTAAATTCTCAATAGTTTCTGAGAAAATTAGTGTCTCACCAATTTAGATTATTCTGTATACATATAATATATATATATAGTTTTTATTTACAATATAATGTGATATTATAATCGTAAAATAATAAAGGAGATTTTTTATCAAATTACTCAATTTAAAAAATTTTAACGGATAAAAAATATACTTAATTGATGAAAAATTTGATATTTCTGTTCTCCTACAAGTTAAAACAATAAACGTAAAAATAAAAAACTGAAAATTTGATTATATAAATCTTTCTTTGAATTACATTATGAATATGAATCCAGGGAAATTGCATCTTAACGTTCTATTTTAAAATGAACAACAATACAGCGTATAAAGGATCATTATTTTAAAATGAATTTCGATAATTTAGCGATTTCAATAGTAACTGTTATTACTAGTTATAAATTAAAGTTGCTGTTTGATTGTTATGTAGAGACAATCACTTCAATAATATCAATTAAATGTTAGATTTATGATTGAGGGAATAAAACTCAAGAGTATTGTTAGTTGTAAGCGCAATACTGGAAGTTCTAGAAAGGGTTTAAAAATTATGAATATTATATAGAAATATTGAAAATAAAAGGGAAGGAAGAAATTAGTTTGAACATTTTATTCAAATTACGCCTTTGGGTTTAACGTCGGAAAATTACAATTATATTTTTTCTACATATTTCATGTTTTACTAAATGTATTTCCCTAAAATCTATAAAAATAGTTTTAAGAGGTAGATAGGATTTAAAAAAAAGGGTTGAGTAATCAGCATTTTAAAAAAAGTTGCCAAACACAAATTTTTTTATGCAATTCGAAAATAAGATTAGAAAATATTTTAGTTGCTTAGTGTATGAAAAACGTATGGACACCATTGAACAAGTATAAACGAAATGTTTGTGAATGTGTAAATTTATTTTTAACTGTGGAGAGAAAAACCTGCAGAATTCTTTAGTATCATTTGTTACTTCTTATGTGACAGTAAATTTCCACCATTTTACTATAAAATAATCAAATTTTCGATGAACTCTGTATGATACCAGTTGCTCCACAACCGGAATTCCTTGTGGTTACAGCCCGAAGGAAAGACACTTGACAGGATTGCAGTTGGATACCTACGAGCAAATATGCATCATTATGTTAATATCGTCCTGAATTCGAATAACCTATTCGGCTAATCCATTCTTTCTACCTCTTCTACGTTTATCTTTTTGAATGACTGGCCCCTCTAGTACCATATTCAAGTTTTGTTGCACTTATCACTATAAACATATTTTTGTAGCTACATTCAATGATTCAGTCTGCTGTTGCATTGGAAATAGGTCGCATACAGGTTTTAGTCGGGCGAAAACATCATTATTATTATTACTGCTATTATTATTGTTATTAAAAACAGTAAATCGAATCAATTAGTTTTCTATAAGATGTTTAATGTAATAACACAGACATTAGTAGATAAAATCGTATGTATATAGTTGATTTGGATTTGAACTATTGTATATAGTTATATTGTGGCGTGTAATATATATATATATATATATATATATATATACATAATAATATTGTTTTTGATTATATAAAATCTTTTGTATGACAAAAATGTACTTCAGTTTAAAATAGAATTTTTATTTTGCAATCATTTCAATATATATTATGATAATTTAGTAACAACGTGATCGAGTCATATGTTTAAAACTCCATACAAATGATATATTGTTAAGAAACAATTATACGAAACGTAAACTTCTTCAAAACTTCAAACTTTCAATTTTCAGGGTACCACTTGAAAATGATGTATTCCCCTTTTCTAAACACAATGATGGACGCACATTAGTACATATATTTATCTTACCGTTTAAAAAGGTTTTTTTGTAAATATTGTCCTTTATTTAGCGTACAAAAAAGGGGCACCCAAAGAAATGTGGAATTATAAAAATTTGTAAAATAACCTTTAACAAAGTTTGCCAAATTTCAAGGTGAAAAGTGGGATTTAAAAAGATATGGAAATAATAGATATCATAAAAAATTGTTCAAATGGCTAATTTTTTTTTTTTTTTAATTTGTGATAGAACAAATAAGCACAAAATATATTGAATACAAAGCGAGTGCCAGAAATTAAATGAAATCGAGAAAGACTTATTTCAGTAATAGAAAACACAACATTTTTGGAACACAAAATGTTTTATTTTAAAGCACAAATTTAAAAATAAAGGTAATTAATGAGAACTTTTGAAATTTTGAATTAAATACGAAGATATTAACCTTAAATACTAAATAACACATTTGTAAAAGCTACTTAAATAAGTAAAAATATTCAAAATTAATTACTTGAGCTATATGTCAAAGAAATTATAAACAATAACAAAAAAAATAAAGATAATTATAATTTTTACAAAATAATATTTGATGAAACATGAGATATGTCTATCCATCTCAAATTAGTTTAGTCGTAAGATATATCGATAAAATAATAGTAAGAGAACAGATTTTTTGTTTGTTGGTGAATTTGGCGAAGCTCGATTAATTCAACAAACAAATTAGTATGACCAATCTATGAGTAACTATAAAAATAAATACAATGAAATAAACAAAGAATAGAATTTCTATAATTTTTATTCTTCTATAATTGGAAAACTACTTAGACGAATTATAGTATTAGCTGTGTTCGCGCACTAAATAAACTACGTTGGCGACACTGAGTGGTTCCTACATTAACTGGGCCACTACAGTGATAGTAAGATCTGACACGGCCACCGAGGATTGGCGTTAGGTCATCCAAAGTGTACACTGAAAATCATGTAAAAGAAAGAAGTACAGTACGGGAATTGAATACCCGTTTTTCCGAGGCGTTTTAGAGACAAACCTTACCACTAAACCGTCGTTCACTAATGATTTAGATGTGATGAGAGGCTTAGAAAAATACGGTGCAGAGCCAGGCTATAAAACAAATAAATATGTTATTCATAAATAAGAATATTAATAACATGAAAACGATAATTTTCTATACGCGCAAGAATACTTTTGTATTTAATGAACGATTTTTAAAATGAAACTAAATCCTTTTTTTACATGATTTGTTTTGTTACATGAAAATATTTATTTATATTAATTATTAAAAGATTTACATCATTTTCAATTAAAAATTTTTACACGTATTATAACAGTGAACAACTTAAAACTTTATCAAATTAAATCATAGAGTATACTAAAAATAATAAATAATTGAGTAATTTTGTTTACATTATTTAACTTTTAAAGGATTAGTTATTAAATGTTAGTAAACTGTTTAATAAATTTTAAAATTCATTTTTAATAAATATATATAAATTACTACAAAAATTTATTGTATTTAACAGCGGAGTAGATATTATTTTATATTTTGATTAATGTAAATCGATAAATTAATGCAGATCTAGTCACATATAATAATTTCTATTGTTTTTGCGACACGATTTTCTATTATTGTGTTAAAACTAGTGACGGGAATTTTCGAATATTTTAAACTATCGAATAACTATTCGAATTGTTTTTATACAATTGAATAGCGTGTTTTTAACATAAACTATTTGAATAAACTATCGAATAGTTTTCAAAAATATTCGAGTTGACTAGCGAATGGTTTCAAAAAATATTTGATTAGTTCTATCTAAAAATTTTTTAAGTACATTTAATTATAATAGGAAGATAATTAACAAATACTTAAAATAAATTATTGTACAATGAATAATAGTAAAAAGTACCATTTTATTTATTTTTAGTTAGTGAGTCGTTGGTAAAATCTGATAAATATGGGTCAATTCATTATTAAATTCGTTTTAGGTTCATCCCTTATACGTTGTAAGTGTATCAACTTTATTTTTTCTAATGGCAATATACATAATTAACTAACTTATAGGTTAGATAATAATATTATTAATAAAATGACTAATCAATAACAATTTTTTGACCAGTATTTTAAAAGTTATAGCATTTCAAAAAATGAACTGGTATGAGTCGCAGGTATATATTAGGGTGGCTCTTATTTTATTAACTTTCATTGATCGATTTCCATACCCGCCAATTTTGTTTTTTATTATATGATAGATATTTGTGTAAAATTTGGTTTTGATAACTTATCCCCTTCAGTTCCGGATCGAGATTTAAAATTCGCTCAAAAAGGTAATTTTTCATTTTTAGATTATTATTTTTAAAACTAACACACTTAGCATAACAATGTATAAAATATAAATAATAGATTTTAATATTTTCTTCTAAAATGGTATTACAAAATGTTCTAAAATTATTTTTACTTGCTCAAAAAAATAAAATAAAAAATAATTTGCTAAATTTCATTTTTTGAATATAAATCATTCTTAATTTTTGAAATAATCATTTTACAACAAAATGTTTCATAAAAAAAATATGTAAAGTTAAATTTTCTAAAATATTGATCTTATGTAAAATTATAGTCAGATTTATAGTTTTGCTGTTTTAATAACACTAACGATCTAAATAGGATTGTTTAAAACTGTTTATTCAGGATACTACGATTATAAATAGGATTCAATTAATAATAAAAAAAATTAGTGATGGGCATTTTCAAATATTTAAAACTATCGATTAACTAATCGAATTGTGTTTATAACACCGAATATTTTATTATTATCATATTCTATCAAATATTTTAAAAACTATTCGAATAGACTATTATATGTTTTCTAAACTATTCGAATATATTGTGTAAGTATTGCATATTTTTACTATTGGAATAGTTTTTGAATCACTATCGAATAGTTCGATAGTTACTATTCGATATTTCCCATCACTAATAATAATAGTAGATAGTTTCATAAAGATTTTTTAAGGAAGCTTTTATTTAAACTTTAGTATCTAAAAGTATTAAATGAAAAAACTTTTAAAAATAATTACCAATAATTTCTAATGTAACCATGAAAGAGAAACCGATCATGGTAAATAATAACGAAAGTTACTATTCGATATTTTCCATCACTAGTTAAAATGTTTTAATNGAAAGTTACTATTCGATATTTCCCATCACTAGTTAAAATGTTTTAATAATTCCTAAGGATAGACTATACAGGGATTATGCTTAAATGTTATTAAATTAATACTTTTTTAACAAAAAATTATAAATTAAGTAAAAACTTATTCGATATTAGAAAAATGATTAATTGAATAAATATTTGTAAATTAAAGAAGTAAATTTGTTGATATAGCAATAGACAAAAATGACTGCACAATGAACACATTTGTAAAGCACTCAATCAAAAGTGTTTATTCTAAATATTTTATTTTATCCATTAAAATTACACAATAATGTGACGAAATATCAAATTCTTATCTCGTATATTATCGTGAATTTAACTTTTTTAAATAAATACGAGCTATTTCAGTTAATTTATACTATTTTTCACTATAGTTTAAGTCGTGAACGATTAAGATGATGTTTTCGATTAGAACGGTACTGCTTTTAGTGACTTTAACAAAAGGAGAACCCGACATATTGTGTTATCAAACAACCAAATATCCACCCCAGACTTTATTTGGTTCAATAAGTCCTTATCCACTAGATTCAATAGAAAGCATACAAATACCGGAAAGTAATGTAATTTTTTACTACAAAAATATTCTATCATCTATTAAGATGACAAGACAAATAATTTTATATGAATAATATGATTTGTTAAAAAACATACGTAAACGCTTTTTAGCTTCGATGCAAAGCTGAAAAGATGTTACTATGACGTTTTTTTTTTGTTTTTTTACTTATTTTTTTTTCTGTGTCTGTTACCACTTTTTCTCATCTCTCACAGAATCGATTTCTTTCAATAATATGTCAAAAGTTCACAAATCGTATCTAGTCGAAGACATTACTCTCAAAAATTGAAAAAAAAAATCCCTCGTTCCCCGTAAACGGGAGAAATCCCCAAAAAATTACAAATTTAAAAATTACTAATTTTCGAAATTTTCGAAATTTTTTTTACTAAAAACTGCCATAACTTTTTCAAAAATGAACAAATCAATATAATTTTTTTTAATATAGATACATTACATATCACTTGGTATATTATTTTTATAAATTTGACCCTTTACCTGCCCACAGAGTGGGATTCAAAATAACAACTTTTAACAAAAAAATTTTCACTTAACTTAACTTTTGAAAGTGTTCCGAATACTGACACTTTTATATATAACTTAAATTAAAGCTAATGTAATATACTTTAATATTAAAAATAAAATTTTGGACTTTATTCACGGTGAAAATGGACACCGAATACTATTTTTGGGTGAAAATTCTTGATTTTATTTTTTACATTTTTAAATTTATAATGGTATAACTTATTGAAAAGTGTATGGATCAAAACAATTTTTTTATGAGAAATAATATATATATCCCCTTTTTATTTGACGTACTTTATCTTAATCAGGATATTAATAAGGAACTAGCAGATCATGTAGCTTTTGGAATAATTCACCAATTTTTTGAAATTAAACACTATCTAAAGATTTGCATCGAAGTGTTTTTTTTTTTTATAGTGATTTTAATCACTGTCAGATATTATTATACTTGATCCAACTATGCCACGTCACCACTGTGCCACGACCACCCTGTGCTGGGTTTTTTATTCATAGTTATACCAAGTTTGAAAAAAAAATATTCTTTTTCTTCAATTATTTGTTATTAATATTATTTTAATTATTAATAAAACGATTTTAATAATAAAAAAATACAATTTAGAGAGTCAAATAAAAGTAATATTAACATATTAGGTTAATGCATTTAAAAAGTATTAAATTTTTTTGAGATAATTAATAAAAACAAAATATATATATATATTTATATATTTTATTTTAGCTACATAAAATTTAATTCATTAATAAGTATATAGCAAATTTGTCTGTTCATTTTTAGCTGGCTAATAATATTTTTTAGAAAATTAAGTATACATGGTAATTTCATAAAATTTATTTTAAAAAATATTTATGATTTAGAATGTCAGACTGCTCAATTGTGGTTACTCTCTAGACATGGTACTAGACATCCTAGTGCATCTATCATATCAAAAATATCGTCTCTTTTGAAGTACAATATTTCAAAGACAAACATGTGTGAAGAAGACAAAATTGCAATTAACAATTGGAAACCCACAAATTTGACTGAAGAAGACGCACATGAGCTTAATGATCAGGGAATCCTAGATATGTATAGATTTGGAAAGAGAATCAGAAAAACATTTATCGAGTTATTTAATAAATCTTATGACTATCAAGTACGAGTTAGACATGTTAAAAATGTACTTCATTTTAAAAATATTGATTCATAAAATTGTACATTGTTTCATCAGGTACTTTCTTCCCCTAAATCACGCTGTTTGTATAGTGCCAAACATTTTATAAATGGTCTGTTTAATACCACAGTTATTAAGGATTTTGATGATATACCTATCCGTAAACCAAATGATACAAGATTAGACGTGAGTGGAAATTATTTTATTTATATATCTTAGAACTTTATAATTTACTTGATTCTATATCGATTTAGTTGACAATAGGGAGATCTCTTAAACACGATAATTACACTGATTGGTCATCTCAAGTGAATCAATTTAAAAACAGTTTCAATATAAGAGAAGTGATACGAAATGTAATTCAAAAAATAAAAAATGATGATAAAGAAAATGAATATTTAGTTATCGGTGAAATTTAAATTACTTATTTTTTAATCATAGATGTAATTATTTCCATTGATATAGATGACATATTGACTATGCTTGATTCATGTAAATATGAGAAAACGTGGCATCTTGAAACTCGTCCAGCTTGGTGTGCAGTATTTTCACAAAATGATCTTCAAGTAAAATTTTTTTAAATAATATAAATGATATTGATACATTTTAAGTTTTGGAGAAAGATTTTGGTTAAAATTTAAACAAAATATAAATAAGAGTACTAATAGCAATCACTTGTTAAAAAAAAAACCTATAATCAAACAAATAAAATAAAATTCTATAATAATAGAGGTACAAAAAAAGATGATTAAAATAATTTTGTTGGGTTTAGACTCTTGAATATTTGGATGATTTAAAGCGCTACTATAATAATGCTTATGGAAATCAAGACAATGAATGGCTCGGCTGTCCATTAGTAAAGGATATGATTACGAGTTTTAAGTATGTTGTTTTACATGTACAGACATTTTTATTTGAATTGTTTAATTAACATATTGTGAATACATTTTTTTATTAATTTATGAAGGAAAAAAATTGAAAGATCAGAAGGGCCAAAAGGAGTGTTTTATTTTGGACATTCCTCAAATTTATTAAGCTTAATTACTCGGTTAGGATTATTTAACGACACTGAACCAATAACTGCTGACAATTTCGATAAAATGAAAAACAGAAAGTTCAGAGCTTCTTTTATAGATACATTTGCTTCAAATTTAATGGTTGCCTTATACAAATGCGAAGATGGAGATTACAAAGTATCATTTTACATAAATGAAAAACCCGTGAAATTTGGAGACGAGGAAGGATGTTATGATTGCCCTTGGAAAAAAATCGAAAATCAATTTAACTCGATTATTTCTGACAAAAAATGTTTATTTGAAAATGAACAATCCAGTTCTTCTAATATCTGTTATAAATCACTTTATTTACTTTTTCTATGCATCTACGTAACTGTTATGAATAGATTTAATGATTGAAAAACAAAAACCAATTTTTTTTTTTTGAATGATCGATTTTATCATATAATTGACAAACATCACACATGGTTGACGTCATCATGAAAACAAATTCTTTGAAAACGAAACAAAAATAAAGTTGTACACCTGCTAATAATTTAGAATTTAAATACTTCAAAATATTTTTTTAATTAAATAATGTAAATTTAGTTTTCAATGAGTTGAAAATTTATTGATATTTTAAATAAGTAGGCAATTTAAAAAAATGCACTAAGTCATTACCGCATTTATTAAGTAATATAATATTAAATATTGTTTTTATTGTCTTTTATATTATTGTAAATTGGTCCTGAATTGATTAACAAGTAAAAAATGTTTAAATTTGCTCTATTTAGCTTCAGATAAATTGATTCAACAATATTATAGATTAAATTTTATTGACTAGGAGTTTTTCAACTAAATAAACATTAAATCATTATTTGGGTAAGTTACTTTTTTAGTTTTTGAGCAAAAAGGAAACATTGAGAAGCAATTGAAATAAAAAATCATTAAGAAGCTATAGATTCAATTTTTTTAATGTTTTTTAGATAATTTTGTATATTTTGTTATCATGCGACTAAAACTTTAGTAGAAGATTATAAATTTTCATTACTCCAAATAATTTTTAAGTTTGATCAAATATTCTAAAAAATGACTTAGTTTTATTTATTTCAAAATATTATATTATTTCATAATAATCTACAGAAGAATATTATTAACAATATTCCCATTATTAAGAAAATATTTTCTAGAATATTCTATCATTACATCATAACCTATCAAACATAAAATTTTTCATCGATTTATCTTATCCAATTAAAATATAATCAATTTATTCATTTAATGTGAAATTAAAGTTCATTATGCTTTTGTAAACTTTTGATTTAAATAAATATTTATTTTTCATTATTAGTGACGTATCAATCCCAGGATCAGTGTGCCGTTTAAGTATCCCCTGTATTGAGAGCTAGAATTTAACAGTTCCAGATTATTTTTTCTTTTTACTATCATCATATAGTTTAGTGTGATAAGAATAAAATCATGTAAAATTTTACAACTGTTTTAAAAAAATTTAAATCTTTAATTTATTGATTTATTTTAAATATATATATAAATTTTAGATTTAATTTATAAAAAATTAAATCCCACATTTTAAAATAGCTAATTTATTTTCAACAGAATAATAGTACTGTTCCAAATTATTAGCATATTCTTTTTGCAGGATGATTAATTTGACATTTGTTTTATAATTAGTGTAATAAAATAAATTATTAATTCTCAAGTGTTAAAATAAAATAAGTGCATTATACTGTTGTTGTATACTATACGTATACCTTAATAAAGTTAAAAAAAAACTAAAAGTAGCTAAATGTGAAGAGCCTAAAAGCATTTTGATCCTTACTGCTTCTTCTCAGGCTACAAAAGACATCTCAATTGCAAAAAAGAGAAGAACCTTTTGTATTTCTAAAAAGGTTGTAACATCTATCACAAGCAAGAAAAGAACGAAGAAGATAAGTTCAACTAGCCGCTCCAGAATATTCCTAAGACATATTTATTGCATGTTAGTTGGTTTATATCAACTGTGCTACAAGTAAAACAAAAGATTAATTTTTAAAAAATGTATCATAAAATTAATGTTTAAAAAAAGCCTAGCACAGGGCGGTCACGGCACAGTGGTGACGTGGCATAGTTGGATCAAATATAATGATATCTGACAGTAATTAAAATCACTATAAAAAAAAACGCTTCGAAGCAAATTTTTAGATAGTGTTTAATTTTAAAAAATTGGTGAATTATTCCAAAAGCTACATGATCTGCTAGTTCCTTATTAATATCCTGATTAAGATAAAGTACGTCGAATGAAAAAGGCATATCTGTGGCTTGGTGCAAGAAGGGCCAATGTCACAAATGTTCATTTGATATATTGTATTGATAAGCCTTATTTTCAAAATAACAACACTAACTCCTCGTTAAAATCAAAATGGCCAATCTTTACGCTAAGTTGGTCACATTTATTCGAATACATTGACCGTTTTATCAACAGAAGAACAAAAATTAAAAAATGAGATTGACCTGATAATCTCAATTTCGACAAAACGTGACATTGGCCCTTCTTGCACCAAGCCACAGATTAAAATTATATTGATTTGGTTATTTTTAAAAACGTTATGGCAATTTTAAGTAAAAAAAATTTGTATTTTCAAACAAAATCAATGAAATTTCAGTAATGTTTAATTAATACTCAATTAAAACACTTCTATGAAAACGAATTTTCACATACAATACAATAATTTAACGTATAAACATCACGTCACAGTGCGGCAGCACCTCTTGTGGGCCACTATCGCCCAATAGAATTTTAACACAAAAATAGTATATTTTTGAATACGGTAATCGTTTTCACCATGAAGGCAACTCCAGAGGTCAAATTTTATTTTTCTAAATTAAAATATATAACATAAGTTTTAATTTAAGATATATATATAAAAGTGTCAGTATTTCCGGAACACTTTCAAAAATTAAATTTAAAATGTCCTAGTTTTAACACGCATGTTTTAAATATTGATCCCCCTTGTATAAAGGGGTATGATCTGATTTAAAAAATAAGTGTGTCAGATGAAAGGGGCATATAAAAATTATTTATAAAAAAATAATAATAATGATCCACACATTTTTTCAAAAGTTAAAGCAATATAAATTTAAAAATATAAAATATGAAATTGAGAATTTTTTCACGAAATCGTACGTTTTTCTTTTACTTTGATGTCCGTATTCACCATCAAGACAAGTGCAGAGGTCCATTTTTTTCAAAATAAAATATATTACATAAGCTTTAATTCAAGGTATGTATAAAAATGTCAGTCTTTCCGGATCATTTTCAAAAACTAAATATAAAAGTTAATTTTTTGTGAAAAAGTTTCGATTTTGAAACCCTTCCTATGGGCTGGTAAAGAGTCGAATGTTGACAGAAATATAGCAAATGATAGGTAACCACCTAAGGTATCTATAAAAAAATTTATATTGATTCGTTTAAAAACGTTCTGGCAGCTTTAAGTAAAAAAAATTTTAAAAATGTCGAAAATAAGTAATTTTAGTAAAATTATTAATTTTAGCATCATAGTAAAATTAATACCTTCTCAGCTTCGCATTAAAACTAAAAACAATTTATTGATTTTTTCTTAGAAATTACTGGAGTTGACTATAATTACACCCTAGCACCATCAAACTACTAATAAATTCTTAGTGGATAGTCATTTAAAACTATATTCAAAATATTCTTTTTTAAAACTTTTAGAATTAGTTAAAATCAAAAGATCCAACATAATTAATATATGTTTAATTCAATTATTACTAATTTATGGGCTAGTTAGAATAAAAAAGTATCAGCTATCAATTCAGCATGAGTTTGAAGCTTTCATATATGCAAAAAATTCACTTAAAAAATTTAAGTTTTCAGAAATACAAAAATTTTATGGTTTTAAAGGATCTAAAATATGTTGAAAGTTTAATATTATGTATACAATAAGAATGAAATATATACTAAGAGCATTACATTTTTTAATAGAAGTTAAGAAAGAAAATTGTTTTTATTCTTTTGTTTCTAAAAAAAAAATTTATTTTTTCTAGTATAGATCGAGTAAACATAGACAACTAAATTTCATTGTCAATTCCAATTTTTTCCAATAAATTATTAGGTATTTATAATTAAAAATAGGAAAAAATATAATTTTTTTTTGTCCTTTTTTTAATGAAAAAAATAAACATTTTTAATTAATTTTTTTATAAATTTTTATTAATAGGTGTTTTTTTTATCGTGTCTTCAAAATTTTAAAGATAATTAAACTAAAGACAAAAATTTTTTTGAAAGAATAAAACTATTTTTGATTTACCTTACAGCATAAATTTTATATAAAGTATTACTTAAGTTGAAAAAATAATCCATTGTGGTATCTTAAATTGAAGTGCTACTATAACAATCAGTTAAAATTCACCAATTGGCGATATTTACATATTTTTTTGATCTTATTTAGATATTTTGTATTTTTATTCTGTCCTATTTATTTGCAAAGATAAATTGTAGAATTTTATCTAGGCACGTCCTGTTCAGATAAAAATTTATCTGAAAACTTTTTTGCTAAATAAGTATATTTGAAGAGCACTCTATCAAAAGTGTTTATTTTAAAATTAATTCTTACCTATTTGGAAGTATATAGTTTCACAAAGTATTATATTCAATATATTGTTATACTTCATTTAAGTAATTATTATGAATTTAACATTTAAATAGAGTGAAATAAAATAAAATTTTGCTAAAAATTATTATTATCTTAAATTCTAAGATGAGGATAATTTATTTAACAAAAGTCTTACTACAATTTTTGATTTATGTAAAAGGTCAACAACCATGTTATCAAACCATGAAAAATCCACCAAAGCCAATATTTGGCTCAATGAGTCCATATCCAAATGACTCAATGATCGAGATACCAGAAGGTAATGTTATTTTAGTCTAATAAATTTTTATCTACAATATTCATTTATAATAATTGATTAGTAACATGTATTAATATATTCTATTTGGTTTAATCCTTTTATAATAAAATCAAGGCTTAACAAATTGAAAACTTTTTCTAACTGTCTAAAAACTGAAATTTTGTTCGCGTTAACTTCAGCTAAGTGAAATTATCCAAAACAACACAAAATATATATTTATATTACAGTTCATTCGTAAAGAAATAAAATGGTTAAATAAATAAATCACAAAAGATTCATTTCTATTAAATTTATCAAGTTTTACCACCTGCTGTAATATTTATGATGTAGGCATTCAAAATTATTTGGGATTTGTATGATTTAGGATGCAAACCAATTCAGTTATGGGTTTTCTCAAGACATGGTACTCGACATCCTGTATTACCTGTTATACTAAAAATGAACTCTCTAACTCAGTATAAAAGTTATATAAATTCAACAGACATGTGTCAAGAAGATAAAGATGCTCTTAATAAATGGCAACCAACATTGGATGAATTTGAAGCAAAAGAATTAAACAGTCAAGGAAAAGATGACTTAAAATCACTTGGTAAAAGAGTTAGAAAAACGTTTATCGAGTTATTTAATACATCATATGACTCCAGTAATTTTCAAGTATTATAATTGTTTTTTTTTTAATTTACAATTATTTTAATTATAATATTATTTATTATATTACATTTATTTCTGAAATAATACATCGAGTTTATTATAACTAAATACATATAAATAAAGTAGCCTATTTACCTCAAAAAACTGATTTTATATTTTTATAAATAATTCAGGTTTATTATTTTACTTGTGTTAGCTTATTCATAAGATAAATGTCGAAATATTTTGTTGTCTAACGATTCAAATACAGTATTTAATATAAAAACTTCCATGGATCAAACAATAAATCTATTTTATAAGCCATTTAAAAATATATGATGCTACTTAAAAAGTATAGTTTATACTCCTTTAAATTATAAGGGATGTTTTTAAAAAGTAATTATTTGCTGACAAGTTTTGTCAATATTATATTCATTTTGAAAGTAATGGAGTTACTTATGATAAACCGATCATTCTGAATTCAGTAACCTAGGTTTATTATTTGATAATATTTTTTTTACCGAAACTTTATTAATCATTAATTTATTTTTAGTTATACTTTAGGTTTTTTTAAAACATTAATTTTTTTATTTTATTAAATATTTTATATTTATTAAAATATTTAAATCTTTAATATATTAAATAGTGTAAATATTTTTTATTAATTGATAATAATGATTTTATTAGATACTATCAACTAAGAAAGCACGTTGTGTTTATACCGCCAAATATTTTCTAAATGCTTTATTTGATGATATAGTTGTCAAGGATATTGATGAAATACCAACTTATGAAAATAATGATCCTAGATTAGACGTGAGTTATATTAATAAATTACTGTTAATTAAATAATATATTTTGATTGGACTCTTCGTCTTATAAGTTTTCAATAGGAATATCAAGTAAACCTAATGATACGGTAAGGTGGGAAGATCAAGTACAAAAATTTAAAAAGAGCTCGCACGTACAGTCAGTTGTTCAAAGTGTAGCTCAAAAAATGAAATATAGTGATCTAGATATTGGTGACTTGATTTTTTTTTTCCAATTTCCTAAATAATTTTTTTTTATTATATAGAAAAAGTATTGGTTATGCATGACGCATGCCAATATGAAAAAACGTGGCATCTCGCATCTCTTCCAGCTTGGTGTGCATTTTTTTCTGAGAAGGATCTAGAGGTGGTATTTTAAAACACATATTATGGCTATATTAAAAAACTGATACCTATTTCACAAAAAAATAATTTTGAAACTTTTATAATTTGTATAGAGAAAAATGATTTTACCTCGTGTAGAAATTTAAAAATTACTACTCCTGAAATTTTATTTAGTAAATAACAGATAAAATAATCTTAATTTCGCATTTTCACGAAATTTGGGAAGAAGTCATAAGTATAAATTTAAATTAAACCATTCCTAAGAAAAAATAAAATTTATTTAAATTAGATACACTTTTTGTGGGTAATTCGGTATTCATTATTATTAAAATAATTCTAAATTTTTTTTCTTTTAATTTGAATGAAGAATTTAATGTTATCTTTTTTTTGTTCTCATACAAAGAACAATTATTAATTTTTTTTTATGTTTCTATGCTTAAAAAAAGTTTATTCAGTTTATTAAAATTGAAAATATTTTGTTTTTAACATTTTTATACATGTATAATAATTTTACCCGGATTAAATGACTGGTCATTTTTTGTGGAACATCTTATATAAATTATAGTATAATACAAATGGTTTAAGTTATTTTATTTTAGGTTCTTGAATATCTTGATGACTTACATCGTTATTACTTTAACAGTTATGGTAATTCATATAATGAAAGATTCGGTTGTCCACTAGTTAAGGATATGATTGAGAACTTTAAGTACGATTTTTAAATAATAAGATTATAATATTCAAAATAAATTAATATATATATATATTTTTGTGAAGGAAAAAAGTTGAAAGATCAGAAGGGCCAAGAGGAGTGTTTTATTTTGGACATTCCTCAAATTTATTAAGCTTAATTTCTCGGTTAGGATTGTTTAAGGACACTGAACCAATAACTGCTGATAATTTCGATAAAATGAAAAATAGAAAGTTCAGAACTTCTTCCATAGATTCCTTTGCTTCAAATATGATAGTTGCCCTTTATAAATGTGATGATGGTAATTACAAAGTATCTTTTTATGAAAATGAAAAACCTGTCAAAATTGGAGGTGACCATGGATGTTATGACTGCCTATGGAAAGATCTTGAACAACACTTAGTTCCGATTACTTCTGACAAAAAATGTACATTTGAAGATTCTCAATCGAATTCTGCAAATTTCAGTTATATAGAATTTTATTTACTTCTACTATGTGTTTATATAACATTTATGAAATAATTTTCAATCATTAACAAACCAAAACTGTTTGTCAATAATTAAGCAACTCAAGTTTTTTACTGATTATTCTATTCTTTAATGAATATAAAACATGTTTTAAAAAGTTTTACAAATAATTTTCTTTTAACAATTTCTTTTAATATTATTTTATATTTTATCGAATATTTTTAATAAAATGAGTGTTATATAATGTTAAAATTATATAAATGTTATCATTTGTAATTTCCTAAATAGAGTTTTCCATTTTTGATTTCTTAAAATCACCTCCAGAACATTAACAAATTTTCTGAAAAATTAAAATCTGAAGAAAAGTTTTACTAAGACTTTTTGTTATTTTTCATAGCATTTAATATCACAAAAATATGAAAATAATCTGGCTTTGTAATTTAAAGATAATTGAATAACATCAGAAGGTTTTATTATATGTTTGTCAAGAACGCTCTATAATAGTTATTAAAATTGTACAATTTATAAGTTAAATCTTTGATAAATAACAATTAATATCTTCTACTGGTTTAATATATAAAAATGGTGTAAATGGTTATTCAAGACCTTAAAAAAATTAACATAACTTTCAGAATTAAATGGAAATTTCTTTAAAGTTTCGGTAAATTTAAAACATTAATTGCTACTACTTTATTATTGAGTTTATTCACCTTGAGAATTGGTAATAAAAATGAAATTTATTGTTTGGTCAGTGTTTTGAACATCTTAGTTTTAGTTTCGATACAATGCTAAGAAGATATTAATTTAACCATGGTGTGTTTATTTTATTTTTATTTTTTTAGCTCTAACTGCACGTCTTAATTCAAAGACTATCCAGATTGATCAATAGTTATTAAAAACGACTAAAGGATATATTAGTATAACAAATATTATTTTATACTAAAAAAATGCTTAAGCTTTAATACTTCTTTAAAGTATTAATTGAACCTAAACGAATAACATATATATTTATGATTTAATTAGACATTTTACATTATTAATACTACATTGTAACTTGAAAACGATGGTTGTTACAAAGTAATATAACATCATAAATAATTTTAAATTGATTTACATTAAAAAAAATTAATACTATATCTATTCAAACTACAAAAAATATTATTACTGTAAAATTTCAATAATGTTATTTTAAGATAAAAATACTTATTTAAACCTTAATAGTGAAACATATTTCGATGATGAATACTTTATTCATTAATTATCAGATGTACATATTTTTTTAATTTTTGTTAAAATTATAGAAAATTGTTAAAAAAACAATATTGAATACTAAAAACGTAGTATTATGGTACCTTATAAATATTTTAAACATTTGTTCAAACAAGAATGGAAAACGATTAAAAAAAAAATAAAACAAAATTAATTAATTTGTTTATTATTACTACAATAAATTATATGTGTTTTTAACAAATTAGAAGTTCTTTACAAATTTAAACATAAATGTATTATTATTTATCACTACTAAAACAGCTCTCTAGTTTAAAAAGAAAAAAATATTTGAACTTTAGAAATAAATAAATTTATTACAATTCTTAAAATTTTCGTTTTTATCATCGTATTGTATATCTGGGGCGTGGTAAGGGGCGGTTGTCACACTAGTTGTTGACAAAACTTTAGTGTTAAGCTGCGCCTACCGCCAAAGATGGACAGATGGGTGACCATGCGTGCGCTTCTACGGTGGCCAAAAAGCACCACGTTCCCAGTGCAGAAGGAAACGGGAAACCACTTCACTTAATTTCTCAGGATTTAGCTAAGATATGACAAGGCTTAGCATTTAGAAAAGAAGAAGAAGATCAATAATATCCTGTTTGATATGTTTACACTTTAAACCCGTTATCTTCCATTATGTTAAATTTTTTTTGTTAAGATCAAACGGGCTTACAATTTTATTACCAACCTCTTTAGAATACAATCTTACTATAGTACTTTTTACTCTATTCAATTGGAAGTAACTAAAATTAAAAATTTTCCGAGATTTTTTTTTTGCTAAATTTACTAATTTCTTAAAGTTTACTTTTAATATTATTGTCCTCAAAATTTAAACAAAAATATTCCTATACATATGTAGAATGCAACAGATATAACTAACAACTCTTATAATATAATTAATATTTCGCTATTTTTTAAACATTTTCTTTGAAAATCAAAGCATGCAAGTATTTTGTCAACAATATTATTTTATTATATAATAATATAAAAAAACCCCAGCTTAGTGGGGTCGTGGCATAGTGGAAACGTTGCATAGTTGGGTCCACTATAAATTTAATCTGACAGTGATTAAAATCACTATCATAAGTAACGCTTCGATGCAAATCTGTAGATGGTGTTTAATTCTAAAAAATTGATGGATAATTACAAAAGCAACATCAACTTCTATTTCCTTAATTACACCCAGATTAGTAATTCTTTTAATTATATATTATATTATTTTTAAAATTAATTGTTTTCAAATTATTATTGATTTTGATTTTTAATATGTTAAAAGTAATCATTTTGAACCTACTTTTTTTTGTCCTTAATAGAAAAAGTTTTAATAAAAAAAATAATTTATTACTATAANAATAGTAAAAGTTTTAATAAAAAAATTAATTTATTACTATAACTTTTAGCTCAACTTGCAAGTTTGAAATTGACATTACTAAATAGAAAAAAATGAAATTGTTAAGATTAATATACAATCAGGAAATTTTATAATTATTATTTACAGTACATTTATCAGAAAAGTTCGATTTTTTTACATTTTTATCGTAATAGATCACTTAAATAAAAATCATAGTAATCATTTCTAATTAACTTTTGGTGTTTAGAAAGATTTTAGAATGGAAATATTCAGAATTTAATTAATTTTAATGATTATATATCTAAAAAAACCAATAAAAAAAAAGTTGTTAAAAAGATTGACTCAATTGAGCGTGTTATAAAATTTGATTATAATTGTAAAAATCCATCGTTAAATTTAGGTGAAACTAAAAACATTTTTTTTTTAAATTTATTATTTATATAGCAACATGTTACAAAAAAATTTGGAATATTATAGACTAGCAGTAGCACACACAAATAGAGTTAAAAAATACTACATTATAAAATTTATAAAATAAATTACAAAGTAAAATTATTTACTTTTGTAGTTGAATATTTTTATCATATCAAATCTAATTCGACAGTAAATACTTTAAGAATATTAGAAATTATAGATTTTAACTGTTTGTATGGAAAAATCTGGTTAAGCTACTTTTTATTTGAATAAGGAATATTTTTTCGATTTTTAAGAGTAATAACTTAGAGTAAATACGAATTGTAATCATTTGTCGTATCGTTGAAAAAAGTAGGTCTAGTGAGTGTTGGCAAAATAAATCGTAGCCACAAAAAGAACCACATAATAAAATAATAGTAACATGAATATAAATTTCTTCTCACGAGGGGAGACTATAGTGATAGGATCATTTATATTTATTGAAGTTATTGAATCTAAATGAGATAAATATCAAATGATTTGAAAATTTTATTCTAACTCAAAAAAAAATGCAAAATATTAATTGCCGCAGACGAATTTGAACCTCGTACCGTAAGCGTAAAAGACACAAGTGTTACCAATTCGGGACCTGTTCGTTGCTTTCGCAGTATAACAAAATTTAAGCTAACTCAGATTTAAAAATTACTTTTTCAACATTAAAAAAGTAAAAAAATTTTAATAAGTTTAATTTCTTTTAAAATTAAATACTATCTAAAGATTTGCATCGAAGCGTTTTTTTTTTTTTTTTTGATAGTGATTTTAATTACTTGATCCAACTATGCCACGTCACCACTGTGCCGCGACACCCTTGTGCTGGGTTTTTATTATTTGATCTTGGTAAGGTTAAAAGAGGTAACACCTTCATATTTTTTAATTTAAAACTATCTTAACTAATAATAGTTTTTAATTTTTAAATGTTTCCATGAAATGTGTTCCTTAAAAATTTTTCAAATTAAAATTTATAATACTTTGAATGTGTTATTATTCTACATTTGTAGTATCATCAAAAATATTTGCTTAATCACATTCACGGTAATAATAAACTATTTATTGAGAAAAATGATTCTATATTTAATAATATAATGTTCAGTTTAATTTTTGAATTATTTTACATCCATAACACACATATTCTTAATATACAACAGTATTTTTCTCTTCAAAATAATAAATCACACAATTTTACTGATATTATGAATAATTCATTTTAATAGAGTGTAGTAAAAATAAATATAGCTGGTACTATGGTGATAATGACAGAACCTAAAATAATAAAATTAAAACCAAAGTTTTGCTCCTCCAATATGTGAGAGAAGTGTTCTGTCCTTTAATAAATATAAATTAGTTAAAAAATAAATAATAACAAGACATTTCCCGTAAAATGTTTATACCATAGATCACAAGACAGTTTTATTTTCAATTTTAATGAGTCTGGAAAACATAAAATACACTAAATTTGTTATAGCTTTTTTTGTAGAAATGAGAAAAAAAATACAAATAAAAGAGTATCCAAATTAACAACAATGGTTCCTTATCCAGCTGCTTTACACGAACAATTAATTTCTACTTATATTCTGTATACTTTAACTCGTATTTTAAAATCTATAAAATATATATAGAATATAGTCATCGTATCTCCTAAAATAATTTTCACTATATTCACAAATTGTATATCTCAATGGTAATCTCAATATAAATTTAATATTCTTACAATAGCCAAATTATAAAAATAAAAATCACCAGATGTACATTAAAAATATTTTAAATTGGTTTTATTATTTCCTTATTGATATATTTTTATAGTTTTTTACGTAGTTCATTTACATATTTATAGTAATTGACAAAATACGCATTGTTTTTTTTTAAATTAATGTGTTTTTCCCTTAAAGAAAATTGAAAAATAAAACATATTTGCTGATTGTTAAATTCTGATATATTCTACATAGAAAATTTATTTGCGTTTTAAAATAAATTTAAATACATAAAATTCATAAAATAAAATAACAACGTTTTAAAAAAAATTTATACTTCCTTTGTTCAATCATTTACAATATTTTATTACAACGATATACAAACTAAATTTTATAAAAAAAAAAAACACATATATTACTATAAGATA